TTCGAAAAGATTCGACACAAAGGCCACCAAAGACGGATCTTACTTCATCGATCGCGATGGAACCCACTTCCGGTATATCTTGAATTACCTACGCACCGGGCATCTCCTTCTCCCGGAAGACAAGTCAGTCCGTATGGAATTGCTAGAGGAGGCAGAATTTTACAAGATTCGAGAAATTATGAATGGCATCTGCCCTCCACCCTTTCTGGGATCCAATATCTTGTCTACTGAACAGAAGCAAGTACTTGTCAACAGCTGGCTCAAAAAGGAACTGAAGCGCCGTCATTCCACCTTTGTGCTGGCTTATCGAGCCTCAAGAGACGGGTGGGATTCCTCTGACTTTCATGTTCAATGCGACCACAAGGGACCCACTGTTACGTTAGTCAAGAGTGGAAATTACATTTTTGGAGGCTACACAGAAACGTCTTGGAAAAGCTGGAATGGTAAGCATTTTCTTCAGTAGCTTTTGAGAGCAGGTTTGCAGCTCTTTTTATTTCGTTCTAATTTGCAACTCACTAGATTCTGCGGGGCAAGGTCAACATAACGCGCGGAAGTCCAAAAGAAATTGCTCAGTAGCTCGCCGTACATTTTAGGGAACAAGGACTGAAAATTACCACCAAGGCTGCAACACTAGGGGTACTTTTTCACGTACTATCAATTTTGAGTCTTGTAAAGCTATACGGCGTTTTTATTACGTTATAAAAGGGCCACTGGGATCCGCTTTCCAGTTTGTAGGTTTTCATTATTGACTTTGTTACACATCTATGTATTACATGCTTCGTTGCACCAACATGTTATTACCATATTATCGCACGTATCTTTGCATACTTTACGCCTTTGCACACCTTGTGAATATTTAGAGATTGCAGCGCAATAAATATTCATTTTAGGACATGTAACAGAGACGTTAATATGATGGCAGTGGGTGGTTCTTTTCTCCTCCCTCACAGCATTTATATGGCTTAACAATTAAATTTATCGGCAACCATGGCTTTAAACGCTCCTTCTTTAGATTTTAAAACAACGGGAGATGACAAACACGACATTGAGGTATAAATTGAAGATCTGAAGGACTACTGCACCATGCAAAACTGACTCGATCCGTCGAAGGAGACAGAGGCTGCAAAATGGACGAAACCAGAGAAAGTGATGGCATGTTTTCGGGTGTAACTATCCCCTGCGGGCATAGTGGACTACAAATACAGTTTAGGGCTTTCAGAAGAAGATCTGGCGAAACCTCACTTGGTCATTAATGCCCAAAGAGAATTAGGGCACAAGCATCGGGGTGTCCGTTGAAAGATAGAAGTTTCTTCGCCTGCTGTAACATGAGGACGAATCGATCACCTCTTGGGAAACGCGTATACGAAATCAAGCTTCACAGTGAGAATATGAGAATTTCGCTGACGAGTTTTATGCGAAACCAGTTTATCGCCGGTTTAACGTCTGAAACCCTGCGTTTAAAACTAATTGGTAAAGGCCACAGACACCGAGACGCCGCACAAGCCAAGGTTAAGTTGCGGGAAGTTGTTTAAATCGCTAAAAGTTTTGAGGCGACTACTTTTGCGAACCAGTTAATGAAAACTGACCGAGGCACCCAGCAGGAGCAAGTAAATTTCACGAACAAATCCACACCTGAGAATCAGATCCCCGCTCCACCAACGCTACTGTGTTTTTGGCGTCGCGGCAGCCATCCTAGTGCAACATCATTGCCCTGCGTTTGGCAAGAAATGTAATAAGTGTGGAATCGTTGGTCATTTCGCTCGTGCATGTTAAGGAGGAACAAGAAAGCAAACAGGCAACGGACAACAGTCAAATTTCCCTGATGATGATGCAGATGAGGAAGCGTTTGTAGTGAAATGCAAGGCAACACCGAGTGTGCAAAGAAGTTCTTCGCTCATTTACACCTTGTTCACGACGGGAAATTGAAATTGTGAGAGCACAAATCAACTCAGCTTCAACTTGTAACACCATGCCCAGCGATTTATTAAGCTACTTATTTCAAAGACCAGAAGCAGAATCAGCTCATATGGAAGCCAAACAATGCGGCCAAAAGGTCAAGTACCCTAGTTTGCGACAGAAGAGGCAGACTACAGACAATCAACAACAACACCAAAAGCTTTATTTGCATGACCATAAAGGAATTACAGTATTGCAAAAGCTATTAATCTAAATTTAAGTACTAATTCAACTAATTAGTACGTGCAAAACATTACAAAACGTGACAGTTCTCATTCATTCATTCATTGATATTAATTTGGTCCTTAATTCTAAGCATTGCGAGATAAATGAAACTAATTGACAGTTAATTAAATAATCAGAAGAATTCATAAGAAGAGATATTAAAGTATCGTGTGAAAGTGATTTGAAGTCAGGTATTTTAGTTTCTAGTTTCGAGAAAAATATGTCTCTGATCTGAGAATAAGCCTTACAATCTAGTAAGAAATGATTTTCATCTTCGATTTTCTTACTTGTACAAAAGTGACAATAGATCTTCCTTGTGGCGGACGTCCCGGGCGACAAACCACCACTTCTAAAGGAAATTAAGGCATGGACAGTTTTTTCAATTTCCCTCAAAAAGTCGAGGGGTGGTCTATATTTTGAGCATTAAGGCCTGTAGCGACAAAACTTGAGTAAAATAATGACTCTCAAAAGCTTATGCGATTCCGAGTAAAAGAATATGTAAATAAGGTCACGTGACCTTTAACGGCCATTTTGCGCGAAAAAAACTTAAATTAGAAATGGCACCATTTTACATTAGCAGTCAATCAAAGAAGTTGCAATTAAACATGTCCGTTGATGAACGACTAAACGTCTGTGCCCGGGCTTTGGTGAATAGTTTATTGAAAGTGAAAATAAACGGGATTTTGTACTAGTACCCAGTCCCCTTATTAAACGATCTTCGAATTTCGTTCCTGTCTAAAAGATTAACTTAAAAGGCCCGGACACAGAAATGATGTACCCACTAGTCTAATGAACTATAGACGATAACTGCAACTTCCAGAAAGTAATTAAAAATGGTGCCATTTTGCCAAATAGATTTTTGTGCTAAAAATAGCCTTAATAGGTCACGTGACAATTAGTGACTCTACTCGTCATTTAAAGTTATTAAATTTATACCCACGAAGTCTGTTCTTAAGTTATTTTGTGCTATATTGAAAGCTTAAGAAGTTAGACCACCCCCCGGTTTTTGAGGAATTAAATAGAAGACCCATGCCTTAATTTTCTTGAGTTCTCTGCGGAAAAGATGTGCAGGCTCTGGAGTATTTGAAGATTTATGCCGACGAAACAAACGCAGTTGAGGAAGAGATTCTGGAAATTCCTCCCTCACCCGGAATGCTAACGGCGAAGGACATTTTTACAGCAGTATGCCAATGTGTTTAGACCGGGGCGCAAGAACCCCTCGGAACACCTATGCATATTGAGAATATTGAGTTGGACCCCTCTGTTGCACCTGTACATGCTCCGTTACGCCGAGTGCCCGCGGTAAAGTTAGACCTGGTAAATGAAGAACTGAAAAGGTTTTGTGAAGAAGGGATTATTAGGCCTGTTACCCAACGTACAGATTGGCTGTCTAACATGCTGATTAAAGAAAAACCAAACGGCAAACTTCGCATCTGTATTGACCCCGCAAGCCAAACCATAAATAACGCGATTAAGAGACCCAAATGCACGATACCGACCATCGAAGAGAAGCTTCCTTGACTAACAAAAGTCAAAATCTTCCCCATTGTTAATGTAACTGAAGCATTCCACACCATTGTACTGGATGAAAAGTCCTCTCTACACACGACATTTCAGGGGCAACACGATCGCTATCGCTATAACCGCATGCCTTTCGGTATTGCTTCTGGTCCGGAAGAATACCAGAGGCGACAGCACGAATTCTTAGACGGTTTACGCAGTGTAATTAACAGCGCTAGCGCTGATGATATTTGCGTGCATGGGTGTGGCGACACAAAAGATGACGCTGACATCGACACTTACCGCAACTTGGTGCAGCTCTTGGAGAAGTGTGCTGAACACGATCTACGATTTTCTCCGAAAAAATGTCAGTCCAGACCTCCATTTGTCACTTTCATGGGGCACAAGCCTACCCATAAAGGGGTGGAGCTGATCCTGCCAAAGTAGCCGCCATCAGAGAAATGCCAGCTCCAAATGAAAAAGCTGCAGTGCAACTCTTCCTGGTAATGTGCCAATACCTGTCGAAATTCTGTCAAAAAACTGTCCGAAACAGTCTTGCCATTGCGGACCCTTTCCAAAGATGACTCAGTATTTCTTTGGTCTGAAAGTCACGAAACAGCATTTAACTCACCTAAAAGTCTCTTCGCCTCAATAACTGCGCTGCCCTATTATGACCCACACCCCCCAGTGACACTTCAAGTAGGCGCATCTGACTATGCAATAGGTGGGGTTTTACTGCAAGAGAGACATCCTGTCTGTTTTTCTTCACACACCACAGAACGAAACTATGCTCAAACCGAGAAAGAGTTTCTTGCGATCGTATCCTGCATGGATAAATGGCATTATTTACTTGTACGGCAAACATGACATCACAGTCCACCCAGACCATCAACCCCTGGAGACAATCTTTACGAGACCTTGAGCAGAGCTGCCCCGCAGATTGCAAAGAATGATGCTGAAGTTGCAGAAGTGCAAGTTCACCGTAAGTTATAAGAAAGGGAAAGAGCTTTTTGTAGCAGACACTCTGTCTCGCGAAGCCACTAGTGTTCATGATGACACAAGCCGAACAGTCATGCAAGAGTGCGAAGTGTTTCGTGTGGAACTGGCACAAATGGATCTGGGGGCAGATAGAGTAACAGTTGAAACAATGAACCGGATCAGAAAGGAGACTTCAAAACATCTTCTTCTAGCAGTATTGCATAAAGGGGTGCTGAGTGGATGGCCTTTAGAAAGGAAGGAAGTGCCCGAGCAAATCAGAGTTTACTAAGATTCAAGAGACGTGATCACAGTGTGTAATGGAATCCTTTACAAGTCTCATCACGTTATCGTGCCCACATCTTTGCGACCTGAAATGTTACGGAAGATACACAAAGCTCACTAAGACGGAGATAACAGTATACGACGAGCACGCGAATCAGTTTACTGGCCAAGTATGCAAGCAGCGATTAAGCAGACATGTTCATCTTGAGGAGTTTGTGCCCAGTACTTAAGCGAGCGACCTCGAGAACCCATGGGGTCACAAGACATACATTGTCGGCCATGGTCAAAAGTGAGTGCAGGCCTATTTCAACTCAAATGGCAGTAATAAACTCGTCCTGGTTGACCACTCAGTGACTACTTTGAGCTCCAACCTTTCCGAAACACGTTGACTAGCACAGTCATACGAGCCATGAAAGGAAGTTTTGCCCGATACGGAATTCCAGACGATTGCATAACTGACAACGGCCCAAAGTCACGAGGACCCGTACTTTGCTCTCTTAGTGTACCGAAACAAGCCCCAACAAGGATACGACATTTTCCCTGCTGAGCTCTCTATGTCCCGAAAACTTCGGGACATTATCCCTACAGCTACCAGTCAGCTCGTCCCAAAACTAGCGTCTCCTAGCGTTGTAAGGAAACACCGCAGAAAGGAGAAATAGGTTCACAGAAGGGGAGAAAGTGTACCTCAAAACCTGCCCCACAAACAGGTCTTAACCATAGATCTACGGGGAGGTGGTAGAAAAGCCCACTCCAAGGTCTTGCGTAGTCAAGACAGCAAGCAATGAGACCAGCAGTTCCCCGTGATCATTGCCAAACAAGGAGAGCGAAATCAGAGCCAGCTGGTGGACACGGCACTTGAAATCGTACCTATAAGCACTCCGGGCAAGAACAGGAGAGACAACCACTAAACGCAGACTCAACAGAAGAAACAATGCCCAGCACACCCGCAATTGAATCAGAAGACACGTTACCTGCAACGATAGAATGTGGACCGCGCCGATCACAACGTAAGCGCAGACCGCCACGTAACCAACTGCAAAATAGGAACTTAAAAAAGCCTATAATCGATTTATCTCGAAACATAATACACATGACTTACACGACCTTTATTTTCTTAAAGATGTTTTGAGTACGAACTAACCCCAGTAAATGTGAAGGGCAAAAACCGAATTAATACTGAATGAACCATAGGGTTTTAATCAATTTAGGGGTCAATTATTGCGCATTTAAATGAATGGCTTGAAACCAGAGAGTTCGTGCATATGTGATCAGAAGTAAACAAGGGCACATAGTGCGTTTCGTTCAGTCTTTTTAATATTCAAGGACTGTGAATACAGTGCTTCGATATTGCTTAACTGGGACAAAAACGTCGGAGGAGTTATGAAGCGGCATAATTTTCTGCCATGAAAAAACGTTAGTCACAGGTGAGACAAAAAGTGAACTCGAGCGAATTTTTAACTCATATTAAGATCACGGTAAAAATATGTTATCGATCATTTCATCTATTTGCCCTGTTTAAAGTTCGTGCCGATCGATGAAAGCAACATAGGTCACACAATGCAAAGGATTTTATCATTGTAAGTTAGAAAAAAAATACCAAGAGAAAAATCTTAAAACTGAATATCTTTTATATTGTGGGAAAAAATAATGCGTTTCATATGCAAACGGTTTTCATGTAGGCTGTAGACCGTAAATTAGGATCGTCTTAGTGTAATCAATGTGGCCAATGGATCGGGATCAGTGGGCAGTTGGCTGTCTGTTTTAGTAAAGTTCTCGTTTTGATGTAATACAATATTTCTGTCTAGTGTTAGCAGAAGCAGCCCAGTGAATTCTTTTTTTGGCGAGTCTAGTTTTCTTTGTTTTGTTTTTGTATTTGTTTTTTTTTTTAAGAGGGAGCCATCACATGCTTCGTTATACCAACATGTTCATTTAGCATTATCGCACGGGCCTTTGCATCCTTTACACCTTTGCACACCTTGTACATATTTTGTGTCCGTAATAGTGTAATTTTGTTAATTTGTTTTGCAGGCCATGTTGAGGGATCGCCAGCTTTTGCACGGGACCAGCAAGGTCATCAAAACTTAAATCTTTTTTTTTTCCTTCAAAATAGGCAAGGTCCAGAATAGCAGGTTCCATTCACAGATCACACATGTTTATATTTCATCTATTCTTTCACTAATTGAACCGACCTAGCTTCATATCAATCCTTTTGAGTGTGGGCCTCTGTTGATTTCCTAATTCTCCACCAAATACAGTAAAGTTAGTTTGATCGATTATGGCTACATCGATCGGCCCGTTGAACCCGAAATAATGCGAGATACCTTTGAAATACAAGCTTAAGCTAATTTTCCTCAACTGTATATTCAAATTCATGATAAATACAGCTCCATCAGCTTCAAACAGCGTCTATGGCAGAGAAAAATGTTTTTGATATAACAAAATGAATAGAATATTTCTGTCTAGTGTTAGCAGTAGCAGGTAGAGTAAAATCTCCTTTTTGGTGGCGCTCAGGCACGCAACAACTCGAAGCAAACCATATCGATCGACTCAATCGCTAAGACGCGGTCAGAACAAAACGCTTGAGGCCTCACCACAAGCGGCCCATACGTAGTGTGTGTCAATAACATGGACAAGATGGGACTCCCATGAACTAAAATAGCCTAGAAGTCAAAATGTAACAAAGCAAGACGCTATGGAGCGTAACCTTAGGCGCCGCGGTTGTGGATTAATTGTGAATGTGGAGGAATAGTAAGAAATGATATTTTTCCGGAAACCCTTCCATACAAATTGCCTTACTTTTCTCCTTTTGTGTCACAGACTTCTTAACTTCTTACCGGAAGTCTGCTAGATGCATGACCCCGCGGCTGTAGTACAATTCGATTATAATTCCTTTCATAAATAAATTGCGCACGACGTTGCAATCAGTTTCCTATAGATCGTTTTCACTGTCACGTAGCAAAAAAATAAATTGGAAATCGTCCAATGGAAGAAGCCAAGAAAAAAAAATGTTATAAATGACTAAAATATAAACGATTTTTGCAAGTTTCAGGTCTTTGTGGCCCACAGTTTCTGAGTTATTTGCCGAAACGTTTGTAGAGCTTTGTGTGGAGACGCCATATCGGTGTACCGTTTTGGTCCACCAATATGGCCGCCGGAAATCAGCAAAAACATCAGGAGTTCAATTTTTCTATAAAAGCTCTTTCTTTTCACTCGAGAACTAGTATACGTGCGCATAAACATATCTTCTAATACTTGAAATGGTTATACTGCAGAAAATCAAGAGGAGAGATTTTTTTTCAACTAGACAGCATTCCTATTTTGGTGTCACGCACTGTAAAAACTCGAAGGTTCAAATTGCTGTCTTTTCAAAATGAAATACGCTACAGGAATGGAAACTTGTAAAAAGATTTATTTTTTCTTTATCGTTAACCTAGTGTAAATAAGAATTCGTAAAACCTGGCTATTTTGACTTTAAAATTTGATGACGTCACTGTGAAAACCATCTATAAGCCCAAAATAACTAATCATCGCACGCCGACTGTTCGGAGTTCTGTAGAGAAACATAAAACTTGCTGCTCGCCCAAATTAAAAAAAATCAAACCTACAAATCAGCCATCTTTTACTTTTCTGCTACATTCCCGTCTCCGCGATCTAACGGGGCAAAGATAAGTACCTACAAACCAAAGGGCGAGCAAAAATAATATTTCATTTACGACATTACTTTGCGCTTCTCCTCAAATATTTGTAGCCGTAAGAACTGCAAGTGATCTTGCAATATCTCCAACCAGAAACATGTTTCTGCTCTAACTCATTCCGGTGTCACTACGTCAAATACCCAAAACAAGCCGAAAAGTAACAAATTTGCTTGACGAATCTTTAAACGTACCTTGTGCATAACTTATGGATATTTTTCACATCTCAAATTACCTTGCGTCGCAGTGGCGCAATTGGCTAATTCCTGGACGGTTAAAGTGACATTTTGTCGAGTTTTGCAATCGTAGGTACTATCCACTAAAGCAGAATTAAAAGCTGGCTACAAGAAAATGGATCATCTCCACGCGACGCGCTAATTTGAGATTAATCAACGAATCCGCTCCACGATTGACCGAGAAGCAGCGGTACCGTCCCTCCCATAGCAAGTATTATATTGTCACGGACGCGGTCGCTATGTTTGAAAATTCAAAGCGCGTAGTAATCCTGCCCGTTTGCGGTTAATGGCGGAACGTAAAGGTCAAGTGTTTGTTGATGAGCGAGCGATTATCGTGCAGTCGCGATGGGTTTGGGGAGCTGGAAGCCGGAACCTACTTTACCTGCAGATTAGCCGATAGCAATTTGGAGCGGATTCGTCGATTATTCTCAAATTCATAGCGCTTCGCGTGGAAATGGTCCGTTTTTCTTGTAGCCAGCCTTTAATTACTCTTTAGTGGATAGTGCCTACGATTGCAAAACTCGACAAAATGTTACTCTAACCGACCAGGAAAGACAAGGAGACGTTCAGTTGAAGGTACGTTAGCTTTGTTTTGTTATATTTTGACTTCTGGGCTATTTTACTTTATAGTCCCATTTTGTCCATGTTATTGACGCACACTACGTCTGGGCCGCCTGTTGCCTCACTAGCCTCGCTTTTGCGCCACTAAACCCGGGCCGGCCAAGAGGTTCGCCATATTTGCATTCGATGTATGCAGTTAACAGTTTGAACGTTAAACATGAATTACGATCGAAGGAAGGAAAGCAATTCTGTATCATTTAGACATTTCCAAACGATATATCTATCTATCGATATTTCTTGGTTTGCCATTTGAAAATGTGTTTTACTTTTTGCATGAGTTAAAGTAAAGAAGTATTGACGTCACTGGACGGCATTAACGGCCGGTCAATTCAAACGTTACTGAGGGAGTAAAAACGACTCGAAGTAATTGTCTGAAATTCAGGCTAGCTCGTTTCGAAGTTAGCAAAAAGCTGTCAAAGTTTATTTAAAAACTTTCTCGAGTGGCAACGGTAAGGCGCGTAGCACTGTAACACGAGCAAAGTATATAGCAACAACAAAGATCACACACTTACGATCAAATTAGCGATATTTAACAATTATTCGCGGAAGGCGAAGTTAATATTTAGCAATTAATGAATTAGGCTGAGTAGGATTTGAAAAATTAAGCAGATCGAGGAGGGTGTTATTTGGCCTCGGTGGATAACACCCTCCCAGATTTGCATAATTCTTTATTTCCTACAAAAGCCGAATTCATTAATTGCTTTATTATTCATTCAAAATAATTCCTAGTTTAAAAACATAGCTAAAACATGCTTACCTGCATCGATGTTAAGTTTATCTTCGATAGTGTCCGTTTAGATTTGTCGCCAGCTCCGTAAATATTCTCCAAATAGCAGATGGTGCCTTCCGAGATGTCTTCTTGCTGTTTTTGTTATGTTTTTACCCATTACCTGATTATTTGGGGTAGTTTCAGTTGTATTTCTTACTCTTGAAACAAGTGAAGTGTCCACCATTTTAGTTTTCACAACGAAAGCAACTCAACCTCGTCCCCAGGTCTTCTCGGTTAACGGTGCATTAACCTGTAGAGGGCTGCATTATTGACGTCATTTCCTCGTCAAACACCAAAATTCTTACAAATTTGGTCATCAGTAACTGGTTATGGTGAATTATGCTTGTGCTTTTAGCCAATCAGAATTGGGGAAATATTTTGAATGAATAATAACGTTGAATAATCCCCGAGACGAGGTCGAGGGGATTATTCAACAATATTAACTTCGCCTGAGGTGGATAATTGATTTAGTATATTCGAATACACGAAGTGATCTCAACAGAATCAGAAAAGAAACCATTAAACAAATGATTAGTTTGATTGACGGATGAATTCATGCGTGAACACGAAGCCGTAAACAGTGACTGTGCTTCAAACATGGGAAATGATGGTTTTAATCTTTTTGTATCGATTTTTTAAACTTTAGCATCAACGGTTTAAAAGAAAATGCCGAAAATTTAAATAACTACCCAATTCTGAGAAGAAAAGTAGAGCTTTAATTGTTTCTGTCAACTCACCGTGAATGAGAAAGTTCAGTTTTTGTCGCTTCTACGATCAAGGTGAGCGTTGTTTATCTGCAGTGTTCTTTGCCTTGTTAACTTGCTGGCAAGTACAATTTTCGAAAATATTTGTCTTCCTTTTTTCTCCATAAATTAACTTCTATTTATAGGCAAAATTGGTCTTGAGAGAAAATCCCGAAATCACAAAACAGTGATAACGCTGCCTCGTTTCCTCTGTAGTGGTAAACATAGATTCGAGCCTACAAAAAGTCAGCTACAGTAAACCACTTCACAATAAATCATGCTGTTTAAACCCTATGATCATGAAGTCTTTTCTTAACTTCAAAGTCATCAACACTTGGATATTCTTGTATTTTGAAAAAGTTCTTACTATGAAACTTTGGCAAAACACCCAGTTCCCGACAGCGATTTTGTTCTGCCTAGCGCGGTGAATATTTAACAATTATTCCTCGAGCCCGAATGGGCTCTGAGTCAATAGCCCATGAGGCCGAAGGCCGACTGGGCTATTGACTCAGAGGCCATGACAGCGAGAGGAATAATTGTTTTAGTAATATCCAACTAGCTGGTCAAAAATATCGAGAATAAAAAACTTTTAGCTTCTTAAAGCTAGACTTTAATCATTTTTTGCCGCCAAAACATCCGCGTTTTTCGCTACTAGTGGGCTATAACATATAGCCTAGTAGTAGCTCAACCAATCAGAACGCAGCATTGATAATAGACCACTAGTTGGATTTTACTAAAACGTCACAGTCCGAGATAGCGAGCCAATTAGATTACTTGAATCACCAAGATCACTGAGTGTGTATATACTAAAAACAATTTTACTAGCTTGTTAGCTTTTTCTCTACCTCGCTTGTCCTATTGACTGTGGTATCCCCTGCTAATTTGCACAAGCGACCCGAGGCTCTTGCCCGTTACTAGATGACGTCACACTGGCAGGCGGAGTGGGTCAAGAAACGTAGGTAGAAAACAATAGAGTCACCTCCCCACCCCCCTAGTTCCGTCATAGGTGAAGGTCAACGTTGTACTTGGGTCTAAGAAAGGCTGTAACTTCAATGTGTATAATTAAGGAAATCCTCCAACTCTTTGGTGTTTAAAAATCTAGAAGTATTCCATACGCTAACACTAACTGCTCTACTTTGGAAACACTCGGGTTTCCAGGGATAATTGTCCTTTAGTTCAATTATTGTATAGCATAAACGTAAAGAAAACGCCATGCCTTTTTTTTTTTTTGCATACGTATAGTGAGGGCAGGTTCCAGTGCTGGAGAGCACAAACACTGTACAGAGTCATTTTTATTCAGCCTTGTTAACCCATCTGGTGCTGAACCAACGAAGCTGCCAATCAAGAGTTCTGAAAACCAATACGGGATCTACTGTGACGCTAGATATGGACCGACGTTTGGAAATTATGATCTACGCATTGCCAGTAAAGCAAATGTTAATTCAGAGAGCTACAGCAATATAGGGAAGTCTTACGAATGCCCATCTGATGTAAACTGTGAAACATTCCTTGCTGGACAAACTAATTTTGTTGTTAACGAGCTAGAAGTTTTTTCGTTCCAAGCTGACTAACATGTATTAGAGTTCTCTTTACTCTTTCAGAGAGAGTGTGAAGTTAAGTTTAGCTTTCCTAGTTTCGCGAGACCTTACCGGGACATTTATCTCAACAGTTGGCTGTTACTAGAGGTTTTCCAGTGAGAAAATAGCATTTGTAAAAATAGTTTAAGTCAGATGAGATCCCCGTCAGTGTTTGCTTCTCACTCAAAAGGCCTTGTATGCGCGTCCCAGGATTATGGGGGAGGGAGTACTGCCATATATGGGCCATATAGGTATGTGCCCCTGTGAAGGGTATGATTTTCAAGCAGTTTACTAGGATAGGGTATATAAATCAGAGAGTTTGGGTCGAGAATAGGGTATCATTTTCCAGGAAACTGATCAATTGGTTGGAGATTTTAGTCTAGACTAGGGAAACCGGGAATTGCCTGTCAAAAGAAAATCAAATCGGCAAGTTTAAATTTACGCAACTCATGCGATCAGCCTAAAAGCTACTCTAGGACAGGGGGATTTGGGGAGTTTAGTCTAGTATAGGGTAGCAAATTTCAGCTGAACTAGCTCCGGTATAGGCCAAGGGTTCCAAGGTCCCAGCGACACATCCCCACCCAAAAACCTTAAGTAGCCCACGGGATGTGCGTTTAAGGAGTGTTAAATCAAAATAATGTTTTTTTGTGTATTTTTATCGGATGGTAAACAGCAAGCGCTAGCGTTGCAGCTGGGAAGAATGTAAGAGGGAACTTCAGGATCCCTGAAAAAGTGGTCTGCGTCTCTAAGTAAACGCGAGAAATCACGCCTGAAAGAAAGCGACGTACAGCTGGAAGTACGCTGTGTTTTATGGAGTGACCAAGCTTGACCAGACAGCCGGGAAATGTTTTTAAAGAAGTAAATACAAGGCAGTCTGAAATTGTTATCCATTTTCAAAAATTCTGCGATTTAATTATTCAAAAAACACAAACTGTTTCTTTAGAAATCTAAAGAGATTTCAAACACTGCCTTGGGTTTGAAGTAAGACATCGTCGACCTGGGGCACATAGAACATGCCTGATCGGCAATGTTTTCAACTCTTACCAGCGTGACTCACTGAGTCAGTTATCAATATGTTCAGAAAAATTATCATCGAAACCTCCCTGGAGGATTTGATATTTGTTCGCAAATGCCAAGCAATTCTAAAAAAAAGGTTTGATCTTGTGGACGGAATCTCCGAGCTTTTAATTAGCATATTTGAATCTAGCCTCCCACGCAAACGTTCTTAGGGAGTTCGTCACGCGTTCCTACCCCAAAGAACGTCTGCGTGGGAGCCTAGGCTAACTCGAATCTCGAATTGCGGGGACGGTTTTCAGAATGCTAGCAAAACAGCCCGGAACAGCCCAGCAGTCTGAAATATTACTACAGTGGTCTCTCTATACAGGACTACGTTCACCCACGATCAAACTGACAACCTACTTTTGAAATGACTCCAGGGTCCAAACCTTTTACAGTGGTGTCTAGTCCGTTTTTCACGAAAATCTGAAGTTACCGCGCAGAAATCGAAATATTTCTAAACAAATATCAAATTTTCTTTAAAGGATTCGATGAGAATTCTTGAAAATTGGACATGAATATCACCTACACATTTACTTGCGGCAATTTTGATTTGTTCTACATTAAATTCTCCTGGATCTTCCTCGAATTTCGAAACTGGTACGCTCCTAAAAACTCTAAAAGGGCGAGCAGAACGAATTGCAAACTCCAGTGCGTTTTCATACAGTGCTCTTGCGACCTCTCGCCGAAATGGCCCATGTTTGTCTAAGTCTCGGTAGGGGTCACGTTTTTGTCACGTCACAAATCATGCCGGCGTTTGTCTCCTTCGCAGCCGTTATTAGGGTCGTCACGCAACGCTCCCCCAGCTGTGTTTGGGAAGAGCGTTGCGTGACGAGACAAAATAAGATGCAAGGGAGACTAAGAGCAAAGCCCTTTGAATTAAAATGACGGCTTTAGGGAAATGAGTTGTTCAAATAAAGGAGCTGATCACTTAGTAAGTAATCGGCTCCTGTCAAATACTGTGTAACTGACTAAGTCAAGTTCAGCAAAAAATGACATGTTCCTGCACAAAATGTTGATTAACCCGATAAAAAGATCCCGTTTAGTCCTGGGGGAGGGGGGCACGTCTTAAATCGAGAAAAAATTAACTTGATACAAAATATTCAACTTGCTTACTGGCTTCAGTTGTTTGTGTGGCTCAGTGGTAATTAAAGCCACTATCAGAGCAACAGATCTGGTATGTCCTACCGGAAAATTGAGCGTTTTCCAGCAGAATTTAAATTTTCCAGAGAATTTACATAAGTTCTCTTCTCTTAATTCAAGGAATAATGTGGTCTTTCATGTCTAATCTCTCCTTTTTCCATGATAGTGAGTATTTGTCTATTCCAGCAAAATAGAGAATCAACTCCAAGGAAAATCCGATTATTAGTAAAGTTTTCTACCAGAATCCTCGTGTCCAAGTTACTTTAAATCATACTTACAGCCACAAAGGTTATTTGTTTTTTTAGCTAAAAAAAGGAGTCATATCTCAAAGGCACTAATTGATTTTTTCAACTTCATTATTAAAAACACGAAGTATCCAAATCAGGCACAGCTGATGTACTGATATGTTTTAGACGTAGTATCGCGTCTTTTTCTTCTTGTTTATAAGTATTAACTCAGAAAAAACTTTATTGGAAATTGAACAAACTAAACTTCGGACACAGACTCTGTAAAAGATTACCCTTAAACTCTTGTTCAAAAATTCCTGGTTTAAGTTACGTTCGTACCTACAGAACAAGAGGTTCTTCGCACCAAAGCAAAAGAAACGTCTGACCTTAAAGAAAACCCAAGAACGTTCTTTGAAACTTTTAAACCGTTTCTTGGATCTAAGAAAGGGTTCTTGGGAACTGATATTAACTTAAAAGTTGACGGCAAGATCATTAGCAACCAAGAGACTGTTGCGGAAATATTAGCAGGTCACTTTGCTACGATAGCAAGCGATATTGGAGATGTTAACTTAAGAAACTCCTCTGAGAATGACTTAAATAATCATCCAAGTGTCTTGCAAATACAAATGGCGAGTAGTTCAGAACCAATGATCGAGTCCAATCCAGTCAACCAAGCACAAGTTAGAAAGGCTCTGGAGTCACTTAATACGAGGAAAGCATCAGGATATGACAATATGCCAGCCAGAGTACTGAAATATGGAGCGGAAAAACTTGCTATACCACTGGCGAATCTGTACAATTCATGTATTACAAATCGACAATGGCCAAACAACTGGAAAAGGGGGGAATGGACGCCCGTCTTCAAGAAAGAGGATCCACAAGATTGTCGGAACTATTGACCAATAACTGTCCTTCCAGTGATTAGTAAGGTGTTCGAGCAGCTACTTAGCGACCAGATTTCTAAGCAATTCGACAGCCGTCTGGATCCCCGAATTACGGCATATCGTAAACGCCACAGTTGTGAAACAACATTGATAAGTCTTATAGTTGAAGCGTGGAAATCAGCACGTGATAACCAGCAAATTGTTAAAATCTTATCTACCGACTTGAGTAAGGCTTTTGATTCGCTTCATCCGTCCTTAATGATCAGCAAATTAAAAGCGTATGGTTTTAATGACGAACTATGTTATCTACTTCGATCTTACCTGTGTAATCGATTGAACCGAGTGAAACTGGGAGCTTTCAGAAGTGAATGGAAGCGCACAGATAGGGGTTGTCCACAAGGATCGGCCCTTGGCCCATTGTTATGGAACATCTTTCAAAACGATCTGACATACGTAATAACTTCGCATCTCTCTATATACGCGGATGACCATCAAATGTATGAAACAGCGGGGAACCTGAAAATGGCTGACACCAATCTTATGAGGAATGCCAACAGGGCCTCCGAATGGTACGCCAGCAATCTGCTACAAGGAAACCTGAGCAAATATCAAACTATGACTTTAAAGCATAACAAGACAGAAAGTAACCCTCCATTACACTTTCAAGGAAACACCATCGAATCTTCTGACTGTCTTAAGTTGCTAGGGGTCACCATAGATGAACAGTTGAATTTTAACACTCACATTAATGAAATATGGAAGAAGGCGAGTCAAAGGGTAGGTGTAATGTTAAGGCTTAAAAAACTTGTCCCTACCAATGCTAGATTAACTCTGTATAAATCAGCCATATTGCCTTACTTAACTTATTGCCACCTGACTTGGCATTTCTGTAGTGCTACCGACAAAAGAAAGCTTGAACGGGTCCAAGAAAGAGCACTACGCGCAGTTTTCCTAGATAAGCAATCAAGCTACCAAGCATTGCTGGACAAAAGCGACCTAACGACTCTTCAGAACAGAAGATTGCAAGATATTGCTATCCTTATGTATAAGGTGAAACACAAACTATGCCCCATCAAAATATCCGAGCTATTTCACGGGCATTGCTCACCCTACAACTTGAGGACGGCAGAGTTCGCCATTCCCAGAATTAGGAGCAATAAATATGGTAAACACTCGCTCACCTACCTGGGACCAAAGTTGTGGAATAAGCTACCAAGCGAAATCAGAACTCTCCCATCATTATTTAGTTTCAAAAATTGTATTCGTAAATTTGATCTAGGTGTAATGATAGACGACGACAATTGCTCCAATTGCATCCTTTGTAATTCTTAATCTTTTTAAATCAATTATTTCATTATTTGATAGTTAGTAGGTTTTTAACTATATTATATTGTTAGGTAACTATATTATATTGTTAGGTGTCCCCAATTAGTAGAGGGGTTATTAACCCCATCGGCTAGACATTCCAAGACACATTAATAAAGTTTTTATGTATGTATGTATGTAAACAAAAGGGACTTTACCTTTTTGAGATTGAGATTCTCATCAGTAAAAAATACTTGCATATGTCATCAGTTCAACAGCAACCCACAAATTTTCCACCAACCATCCCCAACCCTCCAACCACCGAAAAAATCTCTTATCTGCGCGAAAACTCAATTAATCTCGCATTATTGGCCGCTTTTGTACTAGAGGACGCATTCAAAATCAACGAGGCCGAAAGACAAACTTATGGGAAATTTGCATACGCGATCAAAAGGCTGAAACAAAATTCTGTGATCTGGAGTATTTTTCATTGTCCTTCGCTACACTTGCTAGCCTAATACGCCCTCAAAGGTAAGCATGCGTGAAGGAGATTTCAAGCGCGACCGAAAAAGCAATATGGCTGCTCGATATTCTGCAGATTCGAGGGAGGACGTCGACTTTACTGACGAAGGAGAATTTGCCGAGGTCATCCGTCTTATCAAGAAAATTTTCGACATTTTAAACCGGGAGACTTTCCGGGTTCATAAGGAAAAAGAAGCTTTTAATGACATCGCAAAGAAACTCGAGCACGTACATTTTGCTGAGACGTTAAAACTGAACATCGGTGGCCAGCTGTTCACTACGAGCCTGGCGATAGTGAGGAAAGAGCCTGGGTCAATTTTGCACGGCACGTTTTCAGGAAGATTTGATTCAAAGCCCGCTGAGGATGCAGGGGCGGATCCAGGATTTTTTTTAGGAGGGGGTGCAATCGTCTCTTGCTCTACTTCAACACCAATAAACCACATAGTTTTTTTTTTTTGCACAATACCAGTTGTATTAGAAAACTGCAGGTCATCTCGGGGGGTGTGCGCACCCCTTGCACCCTCCCCCTAGATCCGCCCCTGGGATGGATCTTACTTCATCGATCGCGATGGGACACACTTCCGATACATCCTAAATTACCTCCGAACAGGGCAGCTTATCGTTCCAGAAGACAAAATCATTCGAAGAGAGTTATTTACCGAAGCTAAGTTTTATCAAGTACAAGGAATGATCGAAGAGCTCAAACCCTGTTCTTTTGAAGATTCCGGCATTTTGTCAGTGGAACAACGCCAAACTTTGACCAGTTGGTTAAAAGACACGATGGCAGGCGCCTGCTACTACACGCTGATATATCGCGCCTCTCGCGATGGCTGGGCAGCCTCTGCCTTTCACTCTTTCTGCGATCGCAAAGGACCCACTGTGGTGATTGTCAAAAGTGGGTATAACATCTTTGGAGGCTACACAGCACAACATTGGGAATGTAAGTTGTGTATGTGCATATTTGTAGTCGCTCAGCCTAGGTATTCGGCCCAAGGTTATAGGCTGAGGGTTTGAGACCCTTAAAAGCCTGTGGAATTGGGTCTGTCTGATTACGCTCGTAAACGCCCGGCCTCACCCATACTGACCAAGGGCCTCTATAGATATCAGACAGAGTCCTTTCGAAACCGTAAAATACTGAAGAGCTACCCTATTTAGATCACCTAAGGTTTCCTTCGCTGTTCATGCATTATGCTCAGATATTCTGCACCTCATTATAGGTGGTTTTCATGCAATCTCGGGAGACACAAATAGCAATAGTGAAATGAACAAATGCTGGTGGACAAACAAAACGAGCTAATGAGCGATCTTTTGTTTACCGTCCACCAGCATGGCGGTGATGACGTAACGTGAAAACCACCTATGCCGCACTTAAATGAGACCTTCTCCTCAAAGACCTATTTTGAAGAGGGAGAGATTTAGAAGTTATGATTAAGGAACTTGTGGGAAGGAAGAGCATTGACGTTCTACATAACGTGCAGAAAACCGTGTCGGGTCCCTTTAGCAAGGCCTGGACTTTCAAACTGAGCTAGTTTATTAATTTCAAGTGATTTTTGAGCCATGTCGGAGCCAAATTTTTCCATCGGCATTTATCAGCGGTCGAAAACTCAGCATTAAATGAATACTTAAGGGACAAAACACAGCTGATATGTCAAGAAGTTGATATTTTCTTTGAACAGCAAGAAACCCAAGAGCAGTACTTATAATTCGGATGTTAGCAAGTTTGTCCACAGGCGGCGCAAGCTCAATATGAGAGTACGTGCAGTTGAGTAATTCTCAAAATGGCGGTCAACATAAGGGATTTGTATAGGAATTCACGTAATAGATTCGAGAAGATAAATACTCGCATGAATTTTCAATAAAATACGCTTTACCTTGTTTACTTGGTGTCTTCTTGCTTCCTGTGTGCTTATTTTCCCTTATCCTGAGTTTCCTCTATAAATTAGTGGAAAATAAATTAGATAAAATAAATAATTGACAAAAATTTTCAAAAACAGTATTAAAAAATAAATTAGTTTCCACTTTATTGATGAAAACTCGGGATAAAGCTGAAATCGCTTCAATCGCAATGGATCGGGAAAATAACCACACAGGAAGCAAGAAGACACCAAGTAAGAAGGTAAAGCATATTTTATTGAAAATTCATGCTAGTATTTATCTTTTCGAATCTATTACCTGAATTCCCACACAAATCCTTTATGTTGACCGCCATTTTGAGAATTAGGCACCGCACGTACTTAAGAGCGGATGTCAGTAAATATCGACCAGAGGTCTACAAAAATGAAAAATCGAAAATTCTCAAAAAAATTCACAAAGTAGCGCTAGGTAAGCTATTAACATAAATGTAATTTTTACTTCGATCCGATAATTATTTTCCACGTACGGGGGGGTTATTGGTTTCGCGGCTCTCGGAGCGGGTTTTCCAGGCTCGAGACCATGTGTGACAAAAAAATCGTTTTAAAATTCAAATCCATTGTAATGCGGACAACAAATAACTTATTCAGAAGAGTACATAATTGCACACATTTTAAGTGGTGATTTACTCAGTTTGAACGAAAATGTAATATTTTGGAGATTTTTCATTATTTTCAATATTTTGAACGTTTTCGTTCAATGAAAAAATGGCAAATTTCAAAGCCCCAAATCGTCGACTGGTACCTCGATTTCAGTAACGAGTCTTATACCACGTTAAAGAGCGTTATCTCTTCTTTCAAAATCTGTTTTCGAAACTACGGGCAACTGAAAAGAAAATTTTTGAGGCCAAAAGATACAAGTAGTACTTTTCTGAAATTTGAGCTTTCCAGACTCAGCGGACCGATGCTAAAAACTCAGAAAAATGCAATAAGAAATCGGTTTGAGCAACAGTGGTTTAACGTTATCAGCTATCAGAAACAAACACGTGTTTATCGAGCGATCTGATAAAATTTAAAGCCGTTTTCCAACAAGAAAAGCAGAGTTTAGCCATCTTCTGCTACCAAACGCACGAGTCACGTAAGGTTGTCAAAAGGCAAAGCACAGTAACAAACTTCAAAAAGCACAACGTTTCTGCGTCCAGGAGTTAGACTTTAGCGGACAGAACAATGCCTACGAGTGTATGTTTCATACCTTAGCATGGGTCTCCTAGATATTGGAAGTAAAAAACATCAAGCACAGCATCGGCAAGAGCGTCTTCGGCTGCTCTCAAACGACGGAAATTGCGTTACTTTTCACAGATTGACCGCTTACCACCTGTTTTTGGGCTCGCATTTCGACGGATCTGAACTCTTCTTCACAAGACATTGAACTGAATTTATCGGAAATATGCCACTACCACCAACAACACGAGCTTTTTTCGGGTATTTGTCGTTTTTTATACGAAAAGTTCGGGTAAGCAGATTCACGCAAAAACCATTTGGCTTAAAAAATGTGTGTAAAAGCCCACCCTGGATTTGAAGCAAAAAGTATTTCTTCGAAATAAGCTGAAAAGTACCCAATTCACGCGGTGAAAAAATGGATGATTATGGAAGGATTATCGAATTCTTGCCTAACCTGAGGGATTTCCCAATTTCCCGTGATGTAGGATTAGGGATTGGAAAAAAGCCCATAACCTGCTCCTGTCGTTGTAAATTTCCTCAAGATCAAAAATTTCAGTAAGAACCGAAAAAAAAAAAAACAGCTTAAAGGAGGTGCACACACCTTGACCTAGCCAGGGAAAAGGGGCTTCTGATTGAGCTAAACTGTCATTGATGCACGGTGCAATTAGTTAGACCTGTTACTATCCCCCGCGCAACCACAGGAACAAGTCCAGCCATTTGGGCCCGGGGGTGGGGAGTACTTTGAAGCGGTCCTGTCGGGGAGTTTCGGGGGTAGGAGGCGGGGAAAATCGAAAACAACTTCTCTTTGCTTTTGTGAAGTACATCATTTGTCGCACGGTTGACAAGGTGATGGCGGACTCCATAGCTGTGGAAAGGCCCTTTCGAAACATGTGCCGGCAACATGCAGGGCATCACGAAATTGACGTCAACACCTTGAATCAACTCCATGAACAGGGAGAGGCAGGAGCCCATCAAATTTGATGGGCTCCTGGGAGAGGCGATAAGTCCCATCTTAAAAGATGCTTGATGTCTAGACGTGAATAGTCTGTCCGCAGTCATTTTTCATTTTGTATATCGGGACCATTTGATAGCGCACGAGTGAACCGGAGAGCAGTAACGAGCCCTAACCCCACCCAATTGCCCTTGCCAATAAATCATCGCGTTTTTCATTTTTTTTATGCGCGTTCGAGAGCCTTCAAAGGGGATATTGAGGGTCTTTGTACAGTTTCAGTTTATTTTACCGACAAAAAAGAACAAAACAAAGCAAAAGACAAGTATACAGAAATACGCAAAAGCAATGTGGTGAGGAAGCCCAAAAAGAAACCATAAGGCTTAGGTCATCCCCTTTTCGTTCGTTTAGCGTTGAATAGGTTTCCTGGCTTTGGGTGGGTCGGTCGGTGGGGTGAAAAAAAATCACAAGAAATCTGAGAACTGGAGGCCTGAAACACCAGCGTCATTACCGTGGAGCCTGAAAACAACAAGACATGGTCACCAAATCGACACAAACTCAATATTGCGGAAAATGTGATGGTCAATTTCATTAAAAAAAGGCTCAAAAAGGGTAAAAAGCAAAAAGGATACACCACCGAACGTTTTATGCCTGGAAATTCTGTTATAATTCTCATTTCTTAGATTAAAAGAATTAATTTAAGTCCAAAAAAATAAACCTTGTCGTTTCTTTTTCTTGCTTTTTTAAAAAAATGCCAAAAAACTGGGTCTTTTGGACGACACTAAACGAAGAAAAAATTAATATAGGTATTAAGCTCCCTTAAAGTATAAAAGCATAAGTTTACAAGGACAGGATCGAACGTATACTGAGTAACTAAATGATAAAAATTTGATCAAAATTAAATGAAAGGCTAAGAGTCTAAGCGCTGTCTGATAACGAAACGGTAAACAAGAAGTGCTGCCTGTCATTTAATAGAGACGTGAAATACTGGGTAGACCACATCCTGATCTCCTGCATAAACCGGAAGAGAGAAACGCTCAGGGCTAAGGAGACTAAACAGGGGCGTAGCTACTTGTATGCACGGTTCGCACGTGCGTACCCGAAAACGTTGAGGAGAAAAAATAGGATGAAATAAACATAACTAAAAAAATCGGTTTCCAGAGAAGCGAGGACATTAATTGGAGAACCGAACCTTGGATGCTTTATATAGCAAGCTTGATGATGTAAAGCGTGAACGCGTTGTTTTCTCCACGACCTGTCTTCGGAGTAGACGAAGTAGGGCACAATTACGTCAATGTGTGGTGCTTTTGTCGGTCAAAAATAATGTGACAAAAAAGGGTAAAAAGAGTCATTTGTAAACTAAAGTCGGAGGTACTACAATCTTGATTTTTAATAGCTGAATTAATGATAAACGGTTGACGTCAATGAACATAACAAGCCGACAGAATTAAAGAATTTTAGAGGTTGTGTCATTTCATAAACAGCAAAAATGCTTTTGCTTACAACCGTTAACCCCCCTTTAATATAGGGACCTTAAAAAAATGTTGAGATTTGGGGTGGGGGGAGAGGGGGGGGGAACGATGTAGAAAACGTTGGGCGTACCTCCGGAAAAATCCTGACTACGCACCTGCTAAAGCCTGAAACTGAACAACAGGAGTCTTGACGAAACGTCCTCAGTTATCATCTGGCCGGGGTCGTACTTTCAAGGAAGCGCTGATCAAGAATCACTCATGACGGAATGACAACTCCTCGTAGCTTCCAGCGAAAAAAGGAGTGACAACAGTGGTAAGCGGTCGTTCTGTAAAATGTAACGCAATCTCTGCCGTTTACGATCTTTCGGCGCTTGGATTTAAAACGTTGTTGTTTGGTATGTTCTCCTGTGTGGGTACTTGACATTTCCAATATATGGAAACACCATGCTAAGGTACGAACAACAGACATTCACAACATTGTTTTGTACGCTAAAATCTGCTTTCATGGACGCAAAACGTTTTGAATTTTAAGACTTTTTAATATTAGTGCTTTGCCCTCCCTTTGACAACTTCACGTGACTGGTGCACTTGGCAGGAGTTGACAGCTTAAATCTGCCTTTCTTGATAGCGAACGGCATTAATTTATATCAGATCGCTGTATAAACACGTCTTGGTTTCTGAAAGCTGATAACTTGAAACCACTGTTTCTCAAACTGATTTGTTATTGTATTTTTCCGAGTTTTTAGCATCGGCCCGCCGAGTCTCAGGGGAGTCTGGAAAGCTCAAATTTCAGAAAAGTACTACTTGTATTTTTTGACCTCAAAAATTTTCTTTTCAGTTGCCCGTAGTTTTGAAAACAGATTTTGAAAGAAGAGATAACGCTCTTTAACGTGGTGTAAGACTCGTTACTGCAATCGAGGCACCAGTCGACGATTTGGGGCTTTGAAATTTGTCATTTTTTCATTGAACGAAAACGTTCAAAATATTGAAAATAATGAAAAATCTCCAAAATATTACATTTTCGTTCAAACTGAGTAAATCACCGCTTAAAATGTGTGCAATTATGTACTCTTCTGAATAAGTTATTTGTTGTCCGCATTACAATGGATTTGAATTTTAAAACGATTTTTTTGTGACACGTGGTCTCGAGCCTGGAAAACCCGCTCCGAGAGCCGCGAAACCAATAACCCCCCCGTACGTGGAAAATAATCATCGGATCGAAGTAAAAATTACATTTATGTTAATAGCTTACCTAGTGCTACTTTGTGAATTTTTTTGAGAATTTTCGATTTTTCACTTTTGTAGACCTCTGGTCGATATTTACTGACATCCGCTCTTAAGCTTTTCCCGCTTGTGCTCGTAAAGTGGTAGAAAGTTGCTCTCTGGAATGCCAAAAAGTTGATGGAAAATTGCCAAAAATCCAAAAAGCTTATACCTAAATTTCAAAAGTTGCCATCTAAATTTCTTGATATTTTTATATAAAGGTTAATTAAAAGCTTTATTTTTCCTTCTTCACAATAATCACTAACATCGGTCAAAAAAATAGCTGGACACTTAGCTATTTTTAATTTTAAAAAAATAAAGAAAATTGCTAGACATACATGACTCGCATGAATTGAAGTTTTCTATAAAATCGTTAACTTTTTCTTCCTTGATATGTGCTCTAAACCTATATTTTGCTCAAAAAAAGTTGCTCAGAAAGGTAAAATTTGCTCGAGGTTGCTAGAACCGCAAAAAGTTGCTCGAAAGTTGCCGAGCACAATCGGGAAAGGCCTATACGTACCCTCATATTGAGCTTGGGGTGCCTGTGGTATGTCAAGTTCATTCAGGAGCCGTCTCGTTCAGCGAAAAGACGTCTGACCGAAATTCCTCCAGCAGAATTGGATAACTACCTTTTCCACAACATTCTAGAGATTAAAAGAAAGAATGACGGAGAACGGTATGAGCCAGGCCTCTTGTCGAGCTACAGAAACTTGACTTAGCGGCATTTGAGGCTTATAAATTTACGTGAATTTTAACTAAAAAACATTTTCTTATGAATATTATGTAAATTAATAAATAATTTTGGAGTTTTAAAAACGTTGTCAGCATGATCTTAGACAAAAAAGAAGCCAGTTCACAGTAATTTTCAAGGAGTTATAATAACTCCTCCAGTGGGGCTCATTCAACTCCTTGGCAGTGGAGTTATTTTTGGGGGAGTTATTTTAACTCCAAAAAGGAGTTTAAAAAACTCTTTTTCAGGAGTAAAAGTGATCCCAGATATTGTAGCCTGCGTGCAGACGATAACTAAACTCTGATTAGTACCGTCTGCGAAGCAGCGCAGAGATCCTTGTTCTGGACCCCCAACGGACTCAACGAATTACCGGAAGTGCGTTTCGAATTCCCCTTCAACCTGATTGGCGATCACGACAAACAAAACAAAGGCCTTTTTTAACTGGCCAATCGTGGCGCGTACTCAAATCTGGGTACACAGCTGGAAGTCCAGAACAAAGATTTCGGCGCTGTTTCGCAGACGGAGTTAACCAGAGTTTAATTTCGTCTGCACGCAGGCTAAGATATTGAGGAGTTAAAATAACCCCCAAAAAGGAGTTATCCCTGTACCTAAAATTTTTACTCCACTAAGGAGTAACAGTAACCCATTTCGGAGTTATTTTAACTCCACGCTGGGAGTAAAAAGAACTCTTCTTCAGGAGTAAAAATGACCCCGTATTCGGAGTTAGATTAGTAGTTAAAATAACCCCCAAAAAGGGGTTATCCTGAAGCTAAAATTTTTACTCCATTTTTGGAGTTATAATTATAACTCCCTAAAAATTACGGTGTTCAAAGGCATTCAAAATGATCTCGGCGCGTATGTTGCTCTTGAACTGTATTCTGTACTATGGCATAGAATAAAGGTCATCAGTTACAGGGGACGATTTGCAACGACGATTTTTAGCGCAACACAGCGTTTCAATGTTGGAACAATTCGAAACAATGTCGCAACAATGTTGCAACGCTGAGTCGAATCGTCTCGTGTAACATCACGTTAAAATAGTTATGCAAGATAGTGCTTTCGAGGGGTATATCATTAATTATCCCACTTGTCACTTGTATTTTATTGGACGTATACACACTTGCCTTTACCGAGAAAATACAGGTGACTCGTTGGATATTCTATGGTATATACCATTCGAAAGCGTTATGGTACATAACTGGTATACAGCATTCACGTTTTTATTGCTACCATAATATTAATGATAATGTATACTTTTTTCTCTAGCTCTTTCTAGTGATGGTTTCAGAAGAGACCCAAACTCCTTCTTATTCAGCCTAGTGAATCCCAGTGGTCCTCGACCTACAAAAACACCTCTCATACCCGGAAAGGAGGATACAGCCATTGTTTGCAATATCAGCTATGGGCCGATATTTGGAAGCGGTAATGATCTGTTAATTTCTAACACACCCAATCAGACAAATACCTGCACAGTTAAACTAAATAACACGTACCAGCTGCCTCCTGGACAAAATGGCAACACATTCCTGACTGGGAACATGAATTTTACTTTAACCGAAACGTCTTACTTTAATCGAAAGGTCTTTAAGTTTGAAAAATAATGTCATTGATGTTAAACAATTATTAGATTCTGTTTTTGTGATATCCGGAATAATCAAGGTCGAGGTAAGTGTTATAAGCCGAGTCGAAGGTCGAGGCTGACAACACTTAGCGAGACCTTGATTTTTCCGGATATCACAAAAAACGAATCTAATAATTGTTTTGTTATACATTGTTTTGAAGCAAAAAACGAAAAAAAGATTAAAGTCAGTCATCTGCTAGCAGATAACTAGCTATAATCTCTAGGTTGCGCTGATTTCCAAAATTAACTGTAGTCTCTTAGCCAATGGGAAGATAGATAGTGAGTACAATGTATAATATTACTAGTCAGTGTCGCATATTCTGGATACTAGCAAAGAAATTCCAGTTCAAGAGTGGGAAAAAAATGATATCTTATATATCTTTATTAGAAGGAAACTGCAACCTGTCCAACCTTGAACAGAGCTGTAACTCTATTTTGTCGCGTGATGTTCTAAAGGATCAAGTGACAAAAAGTTTTGTTAAAAAGCCGTACTTTTACACTTTTCGCCGATGAAAATTAATTGCTATAACTGGCCTACACGTGGATTTTCAGCCGAAAAGGTAGAGCTGCTCCGTATGCAATAGTCTATTCTTTAATCAGTATCCCACCTATATGAGGAATATGTTCGTGGTTCGCCATACAACCTATAATTTGCGCGGTACCCATATGTTGACTCTGAGCGAGCCTAGAACAACAACCTATGGACTACACTCCTTTTCAACAATGGAATGCTCTTCCCGACGAATTAAGGAACAGTACTTTTCCTGATTTTAAAACGACGTTTGATCAGTTTTACTAATTTTGGTCTTGCTTTGTGGGTCAGTTTTAGAGATCGTAATTTTTTCCTCGAAGATATTAGCTTTATAGCGTAGCTACAATAAAATTCGAGATAAAATAAAGGTTATATATGTATGTATGTATGTTATAAAAATTTTTTTTTGAGATCTCTTCCCTCCCTTCCCCCCATACCAAAAGCTAAGATATGTCGGATGCTCCCGTAACTCTTAATAAAACGAGAACTTGAACCTACAGTACTGCCCCGCAAGTAAGAACCTAGTTTTTAAGAACCTGCTGGGCTAAAACGTGCCATATATATACTCCCTCTATACAAGAACCTGTTTGGAGTTCAATCTGAAGGGTTCTTTTATCTAAGAACCTCAAAGCCTAAATTTGTGTTAATACTGAACATGACCATCCTATTATGGCTCTTGTACTGAACAATGACGTAAGAACCTGTTTAAGCTAACGCGGGAACCTTACTAAAGGGATGGTACTGTAACTTAAGTATTTAATAATAAGTTCGGTGAATGAATATATGAAAAAGATGTGATAATCAACATGTCACGAGCGTTAGGACAGGAGAAAACGTTTGTAATGAGTTCACTAGCTACTAGCGCGGCTTACTTCACTTTTCAATAAAACACGAACGCCAACAAATGTTGGCATTCTTCGCTGCTGTCAATCATCTTAGCGGACCTCTTCATCATCATCGTCATCATCAGTTATTAGCCTTGATATTTAAATGAATTTTAAAGAATGCAGCATGTTGTTAGACGAGGAGACCTCAAGAAATCACCAGGCTTATAGAAGAGACCACCTTCACATCACAATGTGATAAAGAATGAGGGCTGCGAAAGAGTGCGGCTAGGCTAATTCAGTAACTATTCTAATAAAAACTCGAGCACTTACACCCAATGCAAAAATGGCGGACGGATTAATATTCTTTTGTTTAAATTAAAATTAGCCTAACTAGCCTCGCTCGAGATAATGTATTCTTTTGAATTTTGTACTGGAGAACGAGGCACAGTTGGGCTAATTTAAATTCATACAAAAATGTTATATCTAGCAGCCATTTTTGCATTGGGTCTTATATTTGGTACTTGGTAAAGAATTGTGAATTTCTTGATGTTAGTACGACAGGAATTCACCAGATGGCGGGCTGTTCCCCCCGGCTTGCGTCATATCAATGAATTGGGCCGTCTGTCATAAACAGATTGGCCGTGTTTACACACTAAAGACGAGTTATCCGTTGCATGGATAATGCGCGTCTGACTGATAATTCGTCTCAATTTGAAAATAGAGCGGTTTTAATTTGGGATGAACAATCTGCCTGACGTTATTTTATACATCTATTTGTCCGTCAATTTTGCTGGACAGATTTTAAAGACGGATTATCCTTCTGAGACGGAAACTTCAGGACAGCTTTCAGCGACAAAATTCATGCAGTGATTGCCTCACGAGTCGACTAGGAGAGAATCCAACTCTCGTGTTGTATCATCAGTACGTACAGAATGTATTAAGGAACGAGGCTGACTGCAGGGGCTTTAGACAAGGTTATCTTACCTGCTCTCAATAAAAACACTGAATGTTTGGTAAGTTAATCTGACTGATTGAATTTTACACAGGACTTCCTAAATATGCAAATGCTTTGTATAATTTTGTTAAACCAAGATCAGGATTAGTTTCAACTACTATAATGCCTAAACTAATGCTTCTAAAGATCTCCTCTGTTGACAATTCAAGATTGGGTCTGACAAGTCAAACATTTTACAACAGGGAGTACCACAGATTTCTGCTACCTGGATAGATCGTCTGTGTTATTGTCTGGGGCAGCTTAGTTTCATAACTGATTGTGAATCCATGGAAAAAAACATCTTCCGAAGTGCCTCAAATCAGAATATGAAGATGTTTTGTTTGATAGATTAGTTACTGCAGGTGACAAGCCAAGGATTTTTGTAATTTTCCGCAAGTAAAAAATTGACTTTCCAAGAAAGACAGAACATTGACAACTCCTCCCCTAAATCTGCCAATTCACCACCAATGTCCAGCGCTGGCCACAAGATCCCTATTTTCCTTTTTCATCCTTTGTTCTACACTTCTCAGAGGTGTGGAAGTGTGGAATATTCTGACAAACTGAGGATATTGTCACACTTTTATTCACTCACGAACCCCTTGTCATTCTTTACTTAGTTCTACACTTCTCAGAGCCGGGGAGGGGGGAAAAGTCTGGAAAAGTAAGGATAACGTCAGACTTTTTCCAGTGACGAACCTTTTGTCATTCTTTACTAATAGTTCTACACTTCTCATAATTGCAGTATGCTGCAGTATTGAAGATTTGTCCTTTAGCTTAAGGAAAATGTAAAATAAAATCGTGTACAGAAATAAAATCTCCTGAGAAGTGTAGAACTGAGTAAAGAATGACAAAGGGTTCTTGACTAGGTGAAAAGTGTGACATTATACTGGCTTTGCCAGACTTTTCCACACTTCCACACCTCTGAGAAGTGCAGAACTAAGCAAAAAATGACGAGAAGTTTGTGACAACGAGTGGGAAGGTGTGACACTATCCTGCATGACTTTCACAACTTCCACGGTGGAAAAAAGTAAGAGGTGAAGAAACGCTGGATTTCATGGCTAGGGTTGGACATGGCTCTAAGTTTCTGCAATTTAAAGGGGCACAAATGAATGAATGAATGAATGAATGAAGCTTCATTTAATCTCGGGTTTGGTGAGGTTGGTTAGACCTGTAGCAAAAATATGCTAATAAGCCGAGGAAAAAAAAGCAAAGAAAACAAAACAAAGATATAAAATAATAGAGAAAGAAAGGGAAATCCAAAAACTTATTTACAGTATAGAACCTAAAATTACGTGACATAGCTATTTACAATAAAAATCCCAACTACTTAAGAGAACATAGATATAGAATTTGCTAGAACCTTAACTGTCGGACTGCTTTTTCAAAAGCTAACAATGTGCTTAGGGATCTTAAGGTACCAGAAATCTTGTTCCAAGTAACAGTCGCCAAGTACTTTACTGAGTTCTTGCCATAACGAGTCGTATTATGTTTCGGTACTTGCAGCTTGTTAACCCCTCTCAGGTTTTTTTATGTTGTCTCTTAACCTAAATAGGTCTCTCAGATATTCAGGAGGATAATTGTTAATTGTCTTAAATACAATAATTAACAAGTTTTGGATACGTCGATCCACAAGGCTGTCAATACGATCAAAAGAGTGCTAGTTTGTGAAGACTCGTCACTGTACAAGTAACGCTGAAAGTGCTTGTTCGATGTAACCCATCCAGTTTTTTACTAGCAGACTTTAAAGAGTGATGCCTTATGGAGGAACAGTAATGAAAATGAGACATTATGAACGAACTATAAAGGCAGACTTTCGTCCGAGACGATGATATGTTCTTTAGTCTATAAAGAACATCTATTGTAGTTGCTTTCCAACTTTCATGTTAACTTTCGTAATGTGTTTTCCAAAATTCAGGCAATTGTCCAATGTTAGCCCAAATAGATCTACTGTATCAAGTAGTGGTAATGCAACACCTTCAGCAAATAGTGATAACTTGGCATTGGGTTTTCGCGAGAGAACCAGCGCCTTCCGTTTTTCAGGGTTCAAGATCATCTTGTCATTACGAAACCACTCACACAACACCGCAAGTTCCTTATTGACAACATGTTCGACAACAGCTGGGTCAGTATCAGCAAAATACAGCTGATTATCATCAGCATAGTTAGACAGCTTCGCCTCTTTGATGAAATGAAATAAGTCATTTATGAAGATATTGAACAATAAGGGTCCTAAAACGGAGCCGTGGGGAACGCCGCTGTTAACATATGAAATCTCACTTGTGATGTCCTCTAGTCGAACCCGTTGCCTGCGATTTTTTAAAGAGCTCTTTGGTTTAAACTATTGGTAGAAATACCATAAGCAGAAAGCTTCGCAAGTAATAAGTCGTGTGGTATCAAATCAAAAGCTTTACTTAAGCTTAACATGGCATTGTTAACGTATTTTAGTATTTAAACGGTGGATATAGGCATATTTTTATCCCCTAAAAATTTTTCATCTGTTCGGATTTCCGAGCTGAAAGTCTAGGGATCCGAAAATTATAGGGATCAAGCCTTACCTTTTCGAATATTTCAGCTAGAAAAAAGGCTCCCGAAAATTCTAGGTGACCTTTTTAGGGTAAAAATTCGTTAAAAATGGGCAATTATACCATTTTTTAGATGTTCGAAAATCCTAGGAGAGGCAGGCAAGCAAGAAATTTTACAACAAATGTTCCAAAAATTCTAGATATCAAATCTTCTTCCGAACAGATATTTTCCGAAAATTGACGTTGGGTGCCCCTGAATTTATTTTATGTTGTCATAAATTTAAGCTATTCACTTAAAAAGACTAAAATTTGCCGATAAAGTCAAATGTGCCTTTATTCAATTAGCTGTATATACGTATTGATGTCGTTGGACAAATTCAAATTGATTCATTCAAAAATAGTACAAAGGAAACTTCAGGACAGCTTTTCGCGACAACATTCAGCGGGCTGTGCGAGCTACTACAAATTTAGACTATCGAGCACGTATTGTTCCCCTATTCTCCAAATTACAAATCTTAGGTGTTTTTTTTTAAGTTAATACACTTAATAGTAGTAGGAGCAGTAGCAGTAGCAGTAGTAGTAGTAGTAATATTACTAGTAGTGGTACTAGTAGTACTAGTGGTACTAGTAGTAGTAGTAGTAGTAGTACTTGTAGTACAAGTAGTACTAGTAGTAGTACTGGTATAGTATATGGCGTTGTGAGCGCAATTTAACAAAAAGTATACATAGCGGTGAAACCAAAAAAACGAGCGCAAAAAAATCCCAGGTGAAGAAATGCATTAGAGAGGTGGTCAAAATGGTAT